CCACTGAGCCATACCCCCAGCTGTGTGTGTGTGTGTGTGTGTGTGTGTGTGTGTGTTAATTTTAAGATAGGTTGTACTAAGTTGCTTAGGGCCTCACTAAATTGCGGAGGCTGGCTTTGAACTTGTGATCCTCCTGCCTCAGCCATCCAAATTGCTGGGATTACCATTCCTGGCTGACCTACCCATTTTCATCCTCAAATCTCTTGACCTCTGAGAACAGAGGAATGACACTAAGCTTGTGCTTCCAAAACTGTGTGCTGACAAACTCACAGAGACATTGTGGGGCATCTTAAAATTCCCAGGGTAGCACATCAGTGCTGGGTCTCTGTTGGCCCTCAGGGGCTCCAGTTCACAGTCTGACATTAGTGCAACACAGATCACTTCGTTCCTTTTGGGGATACCTAATCTTAGCAGAGCTGAGGTTTTGGATGTTGCTGTGATAAAAAGTACACAGGGAAAAGCTGTGAAACAGGAACCGAAGGTAGCATGGTCCAACCTGCTTCTACAGTTTGAGAAGCTGTGCTGGGCCCCACAGCCCACACCTACCACTAGCAAGTAAGCATGGTTTCTCATATGAAATGGAAATATAATTCTTTTCTTTCGATTTATGCTTGTTTTTCAAAATGGCAATTACATTGTTAAGACATAGACACCTAAGTCACCTAGATCTACCTACTTAGTAAATGGAGTTGTGAGTATGTATTTGGCCTTGATAATCTGAAAAAAAAAATTATGGAGACATTGGTCACTGCAAATGGAACCTTCTACCCTATGCCTCATATAGTGCCACTAGGGGCCATCTTGAGGGGAAGGGCCATGATTCCAGAAGGGGCAAGATCGAGGGCTCACAGCTGTCTTCATGCTTAAATTACCTGGGAATTGCCCGAAGGGTCAGTTTAGGTCAAACTCATTCTTTTGCGGCTTTACTTGGAGGGAGATGTCTCAAGTCACAGCTCGTTGCACGTAGAGCCTGAGGTCGGGAGATTGGAGGGGTGGGTCTCTGCAGTTAGAATCCAGGAAGGAGATACTCCTTTTGGATACAATGGTCTCTATCAATGGGAGAAGAGGGAGGAATGTTCTTTTGAAGAGACCATGGGGAGTCATCAGTGAGAAGGTCCCATGTGCTCAGGTATGTTCGGTGTGCACATTCACAGAGTAAACAGTCCAACTGTGCAGGGAACCAATGGCTCCATTGGTGGATGGATGGGAGGCCTCCTTGGAGGGGAATGAAAACAGTCCCCAGCATTTGGCAGGCTCACCACCAGCAAGTGTGCCAGGGGATCCCCTTCGTGAAAAAAGTGTGTGTGTGGGTCACTCTCCACACCAGCCCTTGAGAACCTAAGTGGGCTCTGGTTCATGGGGGGCCACCGTGGAAAGGAACTCCAGTGGAGACAGAGGCTGCAAGCTTGGGAGCCTTGGCACTGAGGTCTTGGGAGCTGCAGCTGAGAAGGCCCTGGTTGATACCCAAAGAAAAATAGATGGAAGGGAATGGTGGAGACTTCAGGAAATGAGACTCAGTCACTACGAAAACAACAGCTGCAGTAATAAGCAAGGATGAGACTTTCCAGAGGGGGGCAGGTGTCACCTCTCCCTCCTTGGTGGCTGCTCTTCCACCCAACAGTGTCAGCCCTGCTCTCCTGCACCCCAGCTTCTCCGGAGTTTCCCTCCCACGTGCCGCCATTGCCTTTCCTGGCTGGGATCACCATAAAAGCCTATATCTGGATTTTTAATTCCCTGGCTCCTTCTCAGGGGTGGCCAGGAGCAGGTGCCCTGCAGCTGTAGGTCACACTGGGTGAGACTGGCATGGAGCACTGTTATTTTTGCCTTCCCACAGGGGCCTGCTCTTCTTAGAGGGGAGTAGTGACCATTGCTGATCTATTCCAATGACAAAAGAAGCCACAAAACCCACCAGAAAGAAAAAATAAATTTTAAAGAAGAGGGGGAGGAAAGAAATCAGTGGAGGAAAGCTAAGTTTGAAATTCACTGCCCCGTCCACAGCACAGCTGCAGGCCTGTGGTCCCTGGGAAAGGTGGCGTTCTGCCTATCTGTGTGGCTGGCCACCTGCTGAGGATGGCTGGGATGGTCCAAGTCCCTTCATTGGTGGAGGGGCCACACCTGCTCAGGTGAGCTGTTCTCAGGACCACACCAGATGGAGAAGAAAAGCAGGCCAACAGGGAGGGGCCATGTGTATTTCATTTTTGCTGATTGATTCCTGGAGAAATGGAGTCATGGGTGGTCAAGAAAGAAAATAGGATCAAGAAGTGAGAACACGCAAATACTCCAACTACTCCTTTTGAAGCCAGATTTAAAATTAGGTAGTCAGTGTAGTTAGGTAAATTGGGTCTAATATGGATTGAAATCTAAAATGGAGGCCATGAGAATGAATTCCCGGAAAAGTTGAGCAACTCTCGGAATGTTAATGAAGTCCAGGAAACAGCCCCCATCAGATTTGAAGATAGCCCATCCCAAAGAAATGTTAATGAAAAGCAAACTTAAAGATGCTGACTCCACTTGGAAGTGCCCAGATTACTTCTTTGGCCCACCTGTGTCCCAACCCTTTGGGCCTTCCCACCTACATTCCATCACGAAAACTATAAAATGGAAAGACAACCGCACTTCAGCAGATTCCACCTCTTGGGTCCCCTTCTTCCTCCGGGAGAAGTCTTTTCTGCTGTCCTTTAATAAACTTCTAATTTCTACTCTGACCTTGCCTCGGCGTGCTTCTGTGGTGTTATTCTTCAACATTAGGGAAGCAAGGACTCGTCCCTGGTCAACAGCGGTAACACTTTGTCCAGAGGGAAAGCCTATCTCTCCTCACATCCTCAGTGGTTGGGGATCATCCTCTTATTGGGAAAGCCTCTCGTGGTTCTGACTGAACTAAACCACTCCAATGGCCAAATATTAGTCCTTTCAACATGCATCCTCATAGTTTTGACCCAGACAGATTTGTTTTTGATCTTGTTCTAGTTCACAGAATATTTCATGGCAGGTTGTATACAGTGGCAGGCAGCCATGCAACATCTGCATTTAGCAGGCAGCCCCACATATTATCAGAGGTGCTGAGATAGAGGGGTGCTTGTCACAGCCAACAACACAGACTGATGTATGTGCCACCATCTGTGAGTAGCAGAGTCAAGGCGTGATTAGTTCCCCTGCTAACTGTTATGAGGCTGTCTTTATAACAACAGACACGTAAAAATTATGGCTCCCCGTGAGGCTTCAGCAGCCTACCGCTGTGCTGGGTAAGCCACTTCATTCGTTCAGGCAGGTTTGCTCAGGCTTTTTACAGGAGACATAATTGCTTTTGTTACACATTCACAGGAATCAGGAAAAGACATTCTTTAGGGTCCTCATTTCCAATGCCCTACTTACCAACTTCATCCCTGATGTTTGCAAGCTCGATTGACAGTTCTTTTTCTTTCACAAGGGCACTTTCATTCTGAAAAAACAAAACGGATACCGAGAGTCCCCTAGTTTTATGCTAAATAAGTACTTTTACATGTTTAATTAATGAATCATATTAAGCAAATATTTATAAGTCCAGCCCTTAAGGAGATAATATTTCTAATTATATAAGCATATAAAAACTTACAAAGCCAACTCTGACTCATTCATTTGTATTCATTCAAATGGCAAAGCCTGCAATATAATATTAATAACACCCATGGTTGTGCTTTTCTGTTACACTCTTGTAAATCATCCTGCCACAATTTCTTGCACATCTGTCTCCTACACATCAATAAACTGTCATATATTATTACACACCACTAACTCCTGTAACTAGTTGAGATTTTTGACCTTGAAAAAGTCCATGTTTTCATTCTCTAAGGGACAGAATCTCGCTTTGCCACTGTCCCCTTAAACTTACCCTTTTGTCCATACCTGGGTAGCTACCTAATAAATAATGGCGATCAGGACAGAAGCTTTGACTTGAAACATTCTCAGCAACAGTACTTCAGGTTTCCAATTTTTTTTGTTCCACTATTGACATTAATAGAAGGGACAGGAAGAAATCACACATAGTGCAAAATATGCCATTTGCAACTCACTGACCACAACGTTGTTTTCAAATCAAATATTTTCCGTGATTCATAATAGAGAAGTAGTTGAAGATGGGCTGAATGTGTGAGCTGGGTGACTGAGTCACCATAAAGAGTTTATTATGATTTTATTACTAAATAACACCACTAATATTAGGAATGCTGGCAATAAGGCAGAGATACCAGCCCTTCTAAGAAAATCTGTCATTCAACAGAATGTAATCCCAAAGTAAGTTGATGTCCAGAGAGAGAATTTTGGCTAAAATGTAGACCAAACACCTAGTTTAGATCTCTTTAGGACCTTGGGAATATTTTTTATGCTTTGCATGTTCAATGTCCTCCAAAGGCCCCTGTGTTAAAGGCTTGGTCCCCAGGATGGTGCCATCGGGAGATGCTGTGGAGCCTTTAAGAGGTGGGGCTTGCTGGGAGGTCCTTAGGTCATTGGGGGAATTTAAGGGGATTGTGGGATCTCTTTCTCTTTTGCTTCGTGAGGTGACCATGAGGTGAGCAGTCTGCTCTGTCACATGCCGTCTTCACTGTCTACCACCCAGGAGAAGCTCAAAGCAATGGGCTCAATTGATCTTGGGCTGGTACCTCCAAAACTTTGATCCAAAATAAAACTTTTCCCTTTTTAAGTTAATCATCTCAGGTATTTTGTTATAACTAATATAATGTTCTTTCCTTACTTTGCTTTTGGTTTCAGCACCTCTGATGAACCTGTGCTCAATGAATGAAACTAAAGGTGATTCTCAGAATCTGCCTGTGCTGCATTTGGACTTGGGTAACAAGGGTTGCTACTTTGAGTTCCTAGGAGAATCTTGGGTTATCCAAAAGGCCAGTGCTAAGCAAAGTCATAATATTCTTAATACCAAAAATAGAACTTTTTTCATAAAAAATCGAGAATTATTATTGTCACAAGTATCAACAATTATTAGCTAATATTTCTTTTTAAGAAAATAGCAACAGATCCATCCTTTGAGGGACAATGGACTCTGCTGTGGTCTAAATGTTTGTGTCCCCCAAGTTCATGTGTCAAAATCTTAACACCCAAGGTGATGTTATTAGGGGTTGGGGCATTTGGAAGGTGATTAGGTCAGAGGGTGGAGCCCTCATGAATGGGATTAATGCCTTTCTAAAAACAAAACAAAAGTCCCACAGAACAGCCTTGCCCCTTCGGCAAGTGAGGATACAGCAAGAAGCCACTATAAGTGGGCCCTCACCAGGCCAGATCTGTTGGCACCTCGATCTTGGACTTCCCAGCCTCCAGAACTGTAGGAAGTAAACTTCTCTTGTTTATAAGCCACCCAATTTAAGATATTTTGTTATAGCAGCCCAAATGAACTACGATGGGTTCCCTCATCTCTTCTAGTCTCCAGCAGCCTTGCTTTCCCTGAATTCAGGGCTGAGAGTGTCCATCTTCCTAATGGTTAAATGACGCTACCTCCATGCCATACCCACTGCACAGGGTTGCCATGAGGGCTAAATAAAGTGACATATGTGATGAACTTGCAAGAGTGTCCAGCACTTAGCAAGCTCGTTCCAGTGTGAGGTGTTGTTATAGTTGCAGGGATTCTTTTTATTTTATTTGCAAGTAGATAATATCCTATAACTAATAGGTACTTTTCCGTATTAATTATCAACTGTGTTTCTAATTTACACATAATTCTTGTCCTCTGGGTCTGGAGCACCTCCCTGGTCTGCCCAGACTCTACTCAAAGGTGTTTTTTGTTTTGTTTTGTTTTGTTTTGTTTTCCTGAACTGGAGATCAAGCCCAGGGGTCTCACACATACTAGGCAAGCACTTCCTCCCGAGCCACATCTGCAGCCCCTACACTAAGTTTTGATGCAGCTCAAAGAATACAGAACCCAGAAGAGGAAAAAAACGTCCTAATCAAACTGATCCCAGGAATTATACACTGTTCTAACAATATTGCCAGCTGACAACCAACTTGTTAGTATTTTGGACAGTGGTCATTGCATTATTTACCATAAGATAATCTTAATAAAAAAAACTAACTTGCTTCTCGTTATCAAAGACAATTTTGAATACTCATCTCCTCTAATTCCCAAACACAGCAGGAGAACTGAAACCTTGTATTTATCAGTTGAGAAATAGCCTCAGCCAGATGTAGCAGGGAACCGCCAGAACTTAACAAAAACAACAAACTAACTTCCATTTCTATTCCAAAGCCAACACATTTCCCTTAGTTCCTGTAGGCCTATCAGATCTTAGCAGAGTCCTGACCCAGGGGTTTTCCACATCACAACAGACCATTCTGGTTAAAATGCAGACCAAATACTGAGTGCAAAAACCATCAGGGCCTTGTGAATGTTTGCTATACTTTGCAAGTTCAATGTCTCCCCAAAGCCCATGCGTTAAAGGCTTGGTCCCCAGGGTGGGCGCTAGTGGGAGATGCTGTGGAGCTTTTAAGAGGTGGAGTAGGGGGCACAGAATAGTCAGGCATTTGGGGAAAAGTGGCTGGAAGGCCCCTTGAGGAGACTGGACTCAGCAGGTACCTACTGGTGATGGAGGAGGTGGAGGATGAAGACTGAATCACTTCAGTGGAAAGCTAATGCCTAGGCTTGGTGGCCAGGCCTTTACGAGAAACAAGTAAGATTGACAGGGAAGGGGTGAGAGAATTAAAAAAAAAAAAAAAAGGAGCATGGGGGGAAGAAGACGGATGGGAAGAGATGTGAAAGGAGAAGTGGGAAGGAAACAGAAGTGAGACTAGAGGCCCTGAACCTTCCCCACCTGAGCAAGCAGGCTGCCATCAGAGGGATGGGTTAGCCTGAATAAGGGCTGGGGTGTGGCTCAGTGGTAGAGTGCCTGCCTCACAAGCAGTGGATCCCCAGCAGCACCAAACATTTAAAAATAAAATAAAGACTGAACAAGGCTGACCGCATCCAGTCTCGCGTGGCCATCTTTTTTTCAGGTTCACACTAGAAAACCAACCAGTTTCAAGTAGAGTCATCAGATGCCTCAGCAAGGAAGGGTGGGCTGCCGAACATAAGCTACGAACTCCTGAATAAATTTAAGGAACATACGAGGGTTGGGGATGTCATTCAGTGGTGGAGTACTTGCCTAGCACGCAAGAGTCCTGGGTTCCATCCCCAGCACAGTACCGAATAAAAGATGGGTCTGTAAGTTCTGGCTAAAGATTATTCACTAATTAATAAAGATTATTATCCATGCTAACCTCTATCTAGCACTGATCATAGGCCAGGCCCAGTGCTGGGTGAGCTTTTCCCCTCATACTACTCAAAATATAATTGTCTCTTGGTATCAGTGGAACTTGGTTCCAGGATCCCCAGCCCCAACTAGGATACCAACATTCGTAGATGCTCAAGTCCCTGATATAAGATGTGTAGTATTTGCATGTAACCCATGGATACCCTCCTGCAGACTTTAAGTCATCTCTAGATGATTTATAATACCTAATTATAAATCTTGCCTAATAAGAGTTATAAATGGCTCTTAGGCTGTATTATTTAGGGGATAGTGACAAGAAAAAAAAAAGGTCTGCACATGTTCAATCAGATGCGATTTTTCCCCCTGAATATGTTTGATCTGTGATTGGTTGGATCTGTGGATGCAGAATCCACAGATACAAGGGCCAATTATACTGTCCAGGTTTCCTCTGGTTTATTTCCCTTTATGGGTGAGGGAGCTGGGGCTCTTCAGGGAAGTAACCAGCCCCTCTCTGCACAACCTGCTAGGAAACAGCAAAGGTGGGAGTCCCAATCCTGCACCCCCACTGTTCTTCACTTTCATGGATTCAAATTGCATTTGCCCTCAGACTGGATCTTGGCACTTGAACCACTCAGCTTTTCACGTCTGACTCAGGGAGAGGCAGAGCCAGCTCCTGACTGATCTGGCCCCATGGAAAATTCTCTGGCTGCCTCACTCCTCACCCGACAGCCTGCACTCCCTGGGTTTGTCCTTGCTATAGATTTGTGGGTTGCATCTTGGTACATTTCCAGTGTGTGGACCCTCTTCAGTACAGCCTCCACGGGGCTGTAACTTCAGATAGGGTAGCTGTTTAGTTATCCCTGACAGCTCTGGAAAGACCTGTCTGATGGCCTCTGAACACATTCTTGCTGAAGATACTGGCACAGCTCAGCCCGAGCTCCCGAAAGCCAGCCAGCCGGTGCAGCCTGGCAACAGCTCTTCTTTCTTAAGTGCTTGTTTTTGAAATGATATCAACCCTCCTAATTTATAAATTCTCTGCATCAAGCAAGCTGCTCTTTGCTTCCTGCAAGCCAAACCAGAATGACGTAGTGTGACCCTGCAATGAAATGAGTCAACAGCCGTGACTGCACGAACAGCGGTCCTCAGACAAGAGGTGAACTTCAAGGAACATCACTACTCTGTGCTGCAAGTGTCGCCCCATGCATCCTGG